ATATAATAAAGAGCAGGACTATGGGAGAGCGGACTCTTGGAGACCTCGCTTCCATGCGAGCGCTCTGAGAGCTCCCCTTGTATACAAGTAAAACTGTGTTTCTCCTCTCGGATTCTCAGCTGAAGAAGTGTCTTAGAATATATCTCTTAACATGAATATTTCAGCATGCAGGGATAATCTTAAGGTAGGTGAAAGATAAGACTGAATCAGTCCCATCGGCGCCAATTTTTTCCACACCGTCTAATGGAAACTTCACCGAGATGCCAGATGGCTGTGAGCTTCAACAAATAATCAGTGAGTCACCTGCCAGCATGTGCTTGTGCTGAACATTTGGATCAGTGTCTGAATAGATGTGTTTGTTGGCTTTAGATTAGTGGCATGAGACATTTCTGAGTTCTAAATGGTGCATTTTGGATTCTTCTGTCCTTCCGACACGTGGTACTGGACCTCTATAAGTATGTCCTGGTGTGTGTAGACACTTGCACTGTTTTCAGCAAAGCACTAGACACACACACTGGCACGAAGTATGCTGTAGTGAATAGAGTAGACCACTAGAGTGGTTTATTCCAACCACTTCTAATCTAAAAGGCTGCTTTGATTTTTTTGAACGTCATTTTTTTCCCCCACTTTGTCAACCTGCTCTAGTTCTTCTTTTTTTATTGTTTTTTTATTTTATTGTATTGAGTTTACAATTTTGTGTCATTTCAACTTAAGGCTGGTTCATCCATCCCCCAAACAGTGTCCTGCACTGTGGCGCCTGACAAAAGAGGGAAAAAGTCTCACCTTTCACTTAGCTCACTAATCAGATCCAGCTTCTTCAGTACAAGCTGCAGCGGAAAAAGCTCCTCATCCTTGAAAGTTTTCTGGAATAAAATTAAGATGACGATGAAGAAGAAAAGAAAATACGAAGAAGGAAAAATTGTTTGCATATAAAATGAAGTCTCCTCCTGACTTACCAGCTGAGTGCCGACGCAGAGAGCCAGAGACACCACAAGGCGTCGCTCCTTTGTGCTGGGACCACTCAAAGCATTTTCTGCCAGCACCAACGAGGACAGCACATCCAACCGCTGCTCACTGTACTTCTTGTCAGAGATCACCCTTTTCTTGAGGGAGAGAAGACATTTTTATTAAATGCTTCAATTCAATGTTATTTATACAGCACAAAATCACAACAACAGTTGCCTCAAGGCTCTTTATATTGTAAGGTAGACCCTACAATAATGGTACACCATTCAGAAAACGCATTCAAAGAGCACATCTGCACTAATGTCAGTTTTACCATGTCATGGAATTTTCTGTTAATAAAGT